TTTGTTTTTTTGTGTGGTTTTTTTGTTTGTTTTAACGAAGAACTATCACCCCCAAAGAGACTGTTTCCATAAGAAAACACAAAAATCAAACTGGAAATAAAAATTATTAAGTCTTATTATCTGTGCAGTGATGCCAGCCTTTTTTTTTTTTTTTTTTTTCCTAATGACCTTCTCAAATTCTTTTGTCTGTCAGTTGTGCTCTCTCAAATCCTGCTGGAAAGGAGAGGAAAGGATGAAGGGAAGTGGTCAAACCACCGTGTTCTCTGGCACTACAATAATGAGAAGCTGACCGTATTCCGAGTCGTCAGTAATTCCTACGCAGATTCAGCCCCTGGAAAAACCTCCTCTGTCACCGATGGCGTTCTGTTTGCGCTGTGCCTCTTCACTCCTTAACTTCCAAACAAAACTAAAGAAAATCTGTCAGAACCTGTGCAGCAATTTGCTTTGCCTTAGGATGCTGGAGCTTCCCATGATGGCTCCCATCTCTGGTTGCAGAAGTGAAGCAGTTCCTGCAGTGACTCGGTGACCTCGCGCCGGTGCCCTACCTCTCAGCACACAGGCTTGGGCACCTGACACTGCAAGCCTGTCACCTTCTATAATTTTTTTTTTTTTTATTTGTCTAACGAGTAGGCCCTGCCATGAGAAAAGCTACGCTTTGGTTAACTCAAAGCCTCTCGCTTTTGGCCCCTGCCTGAACTCTGCATCGCCCTGAACGCGGGCTGGAGGCGACCCTGCGGCCCCCTCGCTAATGGAGGTGACGACGGCGCCCAGCTGGCCCCCAGCTGCTCCCCCAGGCCGTGCTTTGAAGCCCCGTCAGGCTGGCTGAGGGCTGCTCTGCCTCTCACACCCCGACATTGCTGTGATCTCTCCCCATGCCTTTCCCCTCAGCGCTGCCAGAGAGCCCCAGTGCCCCCACAGGGCCCCCACGGCCCTCTTGGAGGGAGCCCCCGGCCCCAGCCCAGCCGCCATTTACAGCCCCCCCTTGGCGACGGCCAGGGCGCCAGGCGGGCCCGGGGCGGGTAGGCCAGGGCGGGGGGTTCCCACATAAAAAGGGCACGAGGAGCCGGTTTGGTGAGGAAAGTGAGCGTTAGGGGCACGTGTGGGACGTGTATTGTCATCAAGTCAGAGTAACAGGATGTAAAATATGAAATAACTGAATCTCTCCCAGAGGGGGTCCGCGGCGTCTGAGGGACACCGGTGGAGAAGCTGCCCCTGGTAGAGCCGATGCCCGCGGGCAAGCTGTTCTGCTTACTCAGCCTTAGCCTGGGTCCCTTTCGGAAAACATTTACTGAGAGCCATTACGTTGCTCCTTGTGGTGTTTTAGTTCCTGTGTTTTTTTGTTTGTCTGCCAGGGTTCCCATCACAACAGGTTCCAGCGCCGCCCCTTCAAGAACATCCAGATTTCCAGTTCAGACACCTACCAGTTGAGGGGAGAGCAATACTGGGCCAGAAACACAGAAGGGTGTGTGTAAGCTCCCATGAAACACTGGGACCTGCAGGCCAGTGGGACTGTGCATCAGAAGGGTCTGCCATTTTATCCTAGAAATGCTGCAAAGCAAAGGAAGTGATTATGTTTTCCAGGCTCATTGCCTCACTTAAAAATAACAAAAACCTGCTACATCTTCCTTCTGATCTCCTTTTCTCTCACAGCCTTGAGAGCCCAAGGAGAGGTCTGTTTCTGAGAATGAGAGAAAATGTTTCTAAGATGGTTTCAAATGAACTCTTTAAAAAAGGGCATGCATGTCCATTTAATTTCCTCTGTTTGCAGCAAGATGAGTCGATCCTTCTCTCATTACATCCTGCAACAATGGAAGTCGCAGTCTATAATTTCTTCCGCCCTTCTGCTAGGAAAGTAGGAAGGAACCTAACGTGTCCTTGGTTCTTGCACAGGTTGATGAGGCAGAGTCACCCACATCAAGTTAATAGCAGTTCCAGCCTATATGAGTCCCTTTAGCAACCACCACCCCAGAAAGGCTTGAAAAAAAAAAAGGTAGGTCATTGGCAGAGACATTACACACACTTAAAGGTCGTCGCATAGTTAGTGCACATTGATCCTCGAGGCACAAGCTCCTATTTAGGCCACGCAACTCCACATCATCTGTGCTTGCATGAGTGACAGACAAGCACCATCGGGCTGGTGGTATCAACTGCCTTTGTACTGTCTCATTCTGTGCACACTTTGTTTGCCTGTCTTACTCTGCTAATGCTGAAAAGAATTCGATTTTAAAAGGGAAAAAATGGAAAAGAAAAGCATCGTGCCATTGAGTCCCCAGAGTACCATTGAGTCCCTAACTCATTCCCCAGCTGTTTGCTCCGAGGCACTGGGGAGTTATAAATAGCTGGAAGCAAGAGTGCAGAACAGTGGTATATACATTTTGTAAATGGAGCTCTGAGCAATGTCCTTGTTTCAGGACCAGTGAAGTCAATAATGGCCTAGAATCTACCTCCATGTGCAGGTTATTATAACACAGAATAATAATAAAAATGTTCCTGGATTTTCACAAGTTCAAGCCATAAAGAGGAGGGAAATTATATATCTACTCTGCCTTCCAGTCACTTTTTGTAGCTTTTATTGTAACTTTTCTCAGAGAAGAGAAGGAAGAAGTAATGTTGGCCGTCTCTGGGTAAAGAAGAAAAGAGGAGAGAGGGAAAAAAAGAGAGACAGGAAAGACTTCAAGTCTAACTTCAGTTCTGTTGGCATCTTTCGGGCTTAGCAGTGCTGCAGTCAAGTAGTAATAATCACATAACCAAGTCGGTATACGTTCCAGTGGCTTCCAATTATGGACAGCTTTGCAAAGAAAGGAATCCGTGACAAGATCACTGTTGATTATCATTATTGCACTATTTGCAAGTGCAAGCAATGTTTCTTCATTATTACCAAGGAGACTTACTGTTAAGTCATTGTATCAGAAAATTGGAAGCATGCACAATAGTTAGCAGCAAATGTTAGGTGTATATTACGGTCTAGAAAAAAAATAAAAAATATATATATATAATGGGGCCTTATGTAGTATGGGACTGGGTACAAGGATTTATGGGTACAGCTCCTGCTATTCCATCGAGGACTGTCAGAATAGGGATCTCCTAAAACCAAGATTTGTGTATGTGTGAGTAAAAAAAATAGGTTAAATGAAATTTCCCGCATGGATTGTATTTTGCTTGATCCTGTTGTTGCTGTTGAGTGAAGTGGAATTATACAGCTTGAAGTAATTTGTTGTCTCTACACCCCGGTTTGCCAGCCATAAAATGGGACTAAGTATTCTTACTACAGCGTGGGATACACGGAGTTGTGGGACTGTAAGGTATTTCGTTAATCAAGAGCTAAATCCCTCCCAGGGAAGAGATATTTTCTGAGCCTACCTTGAAGTAGATGAGAGATGACATCTTCCATCTGATGGCTGACAGATGCTGTGTCATTGCTGCAGCTGACCCCGTCATGCCGCTGTTGAGTGTGTTTGACCGGGAGCAGCTGCAAGACCATCATGGAACTGTTTGAAAAGTCAGAGCGATTTCTACAGCAGGCTATTGCCCCCACTCCTGTTGCCTTCTAAGGAACTTTTTACTGGTAACCTGAAGGTGCAGACGATGCCAGTGGCAACTGAAGTAAAGAAGATAAGTAGAAAAAGAAGGACCATCTGATCAGATCAAGGCTAAAAAGAAATGCAGAGTGCTACAACCATCAGGCAGGGCAAACGGCGACTGGTTCAAAGCAGGAAGAGCCGAGGCAAAAAAAGTCAGTACATATGCAGCTCCTTTAGTTCCAAGTGGTGTGCTTTGCACATGCTACTGAAGCTCCAGCTCGTGTGACAGGAACATTCATCTGCAGGCGAAGGGGATGCTGTGTTACCTACTCCATGATGAGCTTGCTTTCATTTTTATCTTGCGTGTGTTGTCATCTCCCGCTTTGTAGTGCTACAGACTTGTCTTCGCAATAAGCATGAGGCTGCACTCAGCAGTGTGTGGTAATTAAGCCCTTTGAGGGTCATGCATATTTTAATTATTACTTGTTTCATTGTCACAAGCTTGCCCACATGAGATGCAGTCTTGCATTCCATGTGGGACTGAAATAAGGGTCAACACATTCCTTCAGAACCCCAAATATTAAACAGACATTAATTTGTTTTGAGCTTTGCACATTTTAGATGAGCATAAATCAAGATGTATAAGGGTGAAAAAATTTCCTCCATATGTTGGAAGGTTGAACTGAGACACTAACTCTAAGTGACAAAAAGTGGTGGCTGCAACAGAAAATGATTAAATGATTTGTTTAGCATTTATGTAATATATGAATGCACCTTGTCTGTGTTAAGGCAAAGTCATGATTGGTTTTCCACCGGCAAGGGCTGTGAATTTTAGCTGTATTCCCTTTTGGGATTCTGAAGTTCTCAGGTTCCGGCTTACACAACAGCAAAGTCTAAACGCAGACCAGTTTTTCATCCATGAAATGGAAGTTAAATAATGCTTGACCGAAGTAGACAAAACAAGAAGATACGTAGACTAACTGGAAACATCAAGATTTGAAAATTACCTGATAGGAAAAGGGAGGGGAGGGGGATCAAAGACGTCCCAGGGAATGAAAAATTCCTTCACAGCGCTTCCTGTTCTCTCTGTTATGCTAACCAAGGTAGGATTAGGTTTCAGCTGCCAAAAGAAATAACATTTGTAGATTTTTTTTGGTCTGGGGAAGTGGGATAGAAAGATTTAAGACAGCTTTTTCCAAACTATTTGCTTTTTGTCAAGCAGTCAAGTCTAGTTATTGTTATTAATTTGTATTACAGAACTACCAAACTGAGACTGGATTTCCATTGTATTAGGTGCTGTAAAAATATCCAGTCAGAGACTGGTCTTACCTCAAAGAGCCCGTGGTCTAAATAGACCAGACAGACAAAGGGCATTTTGCCCTGAGTTGTATAGCTGCTTAGCAGTTGAGCTCGGAATTATACTCATCTCTCCTGAGTCATAGCCTGGTGCCTCAGCTACTGGAGTGCAGTTCTGGAGAACAGAGCTGTCATTAAAAGAAACGAGCCTGCCTTCTTGTATCCAAACACAAGATAGGGTGAGATTGATTCAGCAAAACCCAGAGTCCTGTGAGTTAGCACAACCGGCTCCCGCGGATGGCTGGCTGCGCGAGCTGGAGAAACCTCATAGCACCTTGCACCAGGCCATTCCTCCGTTTAGTCCCTATGGTTTGCTGTTGGTTTGGTTTTCTGTTACAGGTTCATCGTGTATCCAAAGTCCAGACGTGGACAGGGTCTCTGTGCGGGGATTGCATTCCGATCCGCTCCTGACCTTGCACGGTACAGAACCATACCTAGAAATTCAGATGGCCTAGATTAAGTGCCTAAATTAATCTTCAAGTCCTTAAATGAACAGCCTGAACATAATGTTGTGAAAAGCAACAAGCAGTCGCTAGTATCCTTTCAGAAAGATCCCAAAGCAGCAGAGCTTCTGTGTAGGGATGAAGGCTGCGCTCCACCCTCACCTTTTTCCAGGAACGGCCAAGTAATGCTGCTGTTCCCTGAATCTGATAGAAAAGGAGCTTGCACTTCTTGTCTAAACTGGAAGTCTTTACCTTAACCTTGTGCTAACATAGAAACAAAAGGCTTTCTGTAGGGAAAAAAAAAAAAATCTGAATAAATAAAATGCAAGTACAAACGTGAACCTGTTTATTCTAAAGTGTCATTATCAGTGGGTAATTACAAATCCGATTCCATGGGTAAATATTTCAAGTACAATTTGAATTGTGAAGGGCCTTTCTTACCTAGGAGAATTTCCTGCTTTTTTTTTTTTTTTTTTTTTTTTTTTTTCAATGTGCACAGGTGATTTTCAGTTTCTGCTCTGTGTGTCTGAGCTGCAGACAGGGAAGCAGCTGGGCCAGCAGATTGGCTGTTACCTGTTTCTCAAGATGCCAGCAGTTAGCAAAGCAGACCCTCTGAGTTTGCTCGCAAGAACAAGCCGGAGTAAATGTTTAACTTGAGTCTTTGGAGTCTACGGCTTGTACCTTTCTTTATTATTAACCCAACCCCTGTTTTTCTTTACAGTCGCACAGCTGCTGGCACACAAGAAACAAAGGACCCTTGAAATAACTTCCTCATGGAGGCATGAGCAAAGGTAAAGTACCTTTTGTATTGTTTCCCTACCTATAGGTGGGAAAGTAGTTGCACATTTTTGTGTTCTGCGTTTCTGTTAGGGCAGAACAACCTGTCAATAGCAAGCATTGTTGCATTGTGTCTTTTCTTAAATTAAATCGCTAGATAGATGCAGCTAATTTCATCCTAATTGGACGCAAACTGAAAAAGTATCTATACGCAGAGTACAGGAGGGTGCATGGTGAATTTGTTCAGACATTCACATGCTCGCTGCTCTACGCACACTGCTTTCTGTCCCTCTTTTCTTCACACCAACCGCCTTATCTTTGTAACTGTTATTTTCCTCTTAATTGTTTTCTGCACTGCTCAAGTCTGAAAAGATCTGCCTCTTCTCCACTGGAGAGGCGTGACTGCCCTGTGAGGATCTGAATTTACATCAGTCCTTTCACTAAGCTCACACAAACCAGCTGTACCATTTGTTTCGCAATCATCCTTTACCCTTTTTTTTTTTTTTTTTTTTTTTCTCTGCTCTTGGGTCAATTGTGAATTCTAGAAGCCTCTTGGTGAGGCAGACACCCATCAGCGCAGCACAGAAATGACTAGGACACACGTCTCACAATTATTCTGGTTACTATATTAATATAGTGTGAATACTTGTTTTAAATAATGTTAAATATCTGTGTATGCTAGGTGGTGGCTCAAAACTGGTTTGTAAAGAGAAGGATTCACTTGCTCTTTTATTTATTTATTTATTTATTTATTTATTTATTTATTTATTTAAAATTTGCTGTCACATAAATTTCAGTGGAAAAATTATATAATTGAACCTTAGCCAAAGTAATGCATCAAAGGAAATTCGAGTGAAGATCAAGAGTGGAAGTTAAAGCCGGTGCTCAAAGACATTGAAAAAGTAGCTGTTCATTTTTTTGTATAATTACATATTTGATAAATATGACACATTTTTAGCAAAAAATATTTCAATAGAAATGGGGTTTAGACACTTCAGTTAAAGGAGAAGCAAATTGTTCCTGTTTCCAGCTGCTCAGAATACCGTTTTACTCTGTGAGTAAATCCTGTACGTCAGTTGTGAGCTCCATTTAAGCAGCCAGTGTCTCAGCCCCGATACATTCCTTAAGAAGCCCCAGGTGTGATCTCCTCTCTGTAACTCTGTGTGTGCCGCCTTGTGAGGATGAGCCTGTCCAAAACTACTGAGTGCTGCTGGAGAGGAGATGTCTATAGGCGCTGCAGCTACCCTGTTTACGCTTTTATTTATAGTACAGCAGCATTTGTAACGTGGTATGTACTGTCCTCAGAGTATAACAGTTCCTTTATATTATCTTTGAGCCGTATTGGCAATCAAAGTATTTGGCCTGTAAATACTTGGGAATCTGTGAGCAAAATTTGCAGGCACAGTATGAAATGTGGAAGTGGCATGATTCACTAAGCGCTGTGAGGACACACCATAGCTCCTGAAAAGAAACTATAAATTGCTGTTTGGGAGTAGTTCACACATCTTTGATTCTTGTAAGCCTATTAGATTAGGGGAAAGACTCTGCTATTCCGCATTTTGATCAGATCCAGCTGTTTTATTTAGCCCTAAAGATCACTGGCACCATAAGCAAGGGATGATGCAAGGATGATAATGTGGCTAACAGATACTTCCAAAACATCTAACACGTATAGTTAAGATTCTGTCACTTTACTCCCACTGGAGAATACCGACATGAATGGGAGTATTGGTGGAATAAATTAGTATGTATTGGAAGGATGTCAGAATGCAGGCCCAAGTGACTATGCAAATCTGAATCAAGGTAGAAAAAGCAAATGAGGAGTTGAATGGATTTTAAGAGACCGACACCTTGGTTATGAAGTAAGTAGGAAGTCAGTTGTGCAGCTTTGAACCTGTTTCTACAATGGCCAAATTCAGGTTTTGCAATTTACTCAAAGATTAAGAGATAAACAAGTAAAGAAAACACAACAAAACACAAACCCGTTGTCTAAAAGAATGGGAGAATTGGCAAGTTGATAAAGAACCTTGTGTCTGTTCAAAGGTGACCTAGGTCAGCTGAGGATGAATTTGCCTTCTTTTTTTGTCAGGAGTTTGATGTTTGTTAAGGGTCCGTTGGTTTCTCCATTTCCTGAGTGATTATTATTTTTTTTTTTTTCCAATCTGGCAATTCTACAAAGCATATGTTGGACTTTAAACGTATTTGCCTAGCGTGTTCTGGGTGCTACGAAATGCAAATAAAGACGCTGGCATCAAAAGGGGATGGAGTGCTTTGAAGATGAAGGGCTTGACAAAGAGCCAAGGAGCCAATGGACCAGTAAGAACTGGAATTCTCATAGGACTTAAAGGACGCTATGCCTGTTGGTGAAAGCAAACACACATCAGAAAGGCACCAGGGGAGATCTTCATTGCTTTCTCCTGGCTAATTCCTTAGGCCAAGAGAGCTGCTTCAACTCGGCCTCAGAAGTGAAGCGGTTAAAGAAAACTGGATACAGAACTTACCTGAGGGCTGTTGCAGAGGAGAAGGTGGGAGATGAGAAGTGGATCAATGCTATGTATCGCCTGTATTAAAGGCAGACGAGCTCCTTGTCTTTGAATTAACTTTTGGCTCTGCTGGTGTGACAGAGCCAGCAGCAAGAATCCCAGGCCAACAGGACTTTGAGCCCTGGAGGGGTTTTGGTTCATTGGCCGGTTGGTTTTTAGTTTTAAGTTGTGGGGGATTTTTGTTGGTTTTGGGTTGTTGGGGTTTTTTTTGCTTTTTTTTTAAGGTTGCTTTGTTGGGGTTTTTTTTAGTGCAATGCTAGGAGCCAGTTCCAAAAACATTCTGGTGATACTAAAGGATAGGATAGGATGTGTAGGATGCCACCTTATTATGCTTCAGAGACACAAGCACAGAAAGCACAAAAGCATTTTTCCAGCACCACAGCCCCAACCAGGCTCAGCGGCATTATGCAGACAATAAATAGATTAGACTTTCTTGAGGAAAGAAGTACAGAGCAGTGACTGCTTTTTGTGCCTCAATCCAGCCCTTGACATGCTTCTCATCTCCCGTATAACTCGGCAGCAAAAGGCTTAATTGGCTAGCAGCAATGTGCAGTGTCGAGTGTAAAAATGCAGGGGTAATCATAGAAATAACAATAACACTATCCCATGATGCGATCGGGGTTTCTTTTTCAGAATCCAATGATGTTAAAATAAATGGTATTATGTTGCTTTTCATTTATTTTAAGTCAGTAAATTCCAAAAGAGGATTTGTCCCATTTCTACAACGTGCTTAAGGACTTAAGAGTGCATGATCAAATGCAGATTTATTAGAGGCATGAGGGGTTGGCATACGGTATTCTCTGTGGCATACGGTATTCTCTGCTTAAAGCTGCTCAGTGCCTTTTTGTTCTGGTCAAGAAGGATTTTTTTTTCTCATCTTAATCATTATTTGTGAGACCATATGTGGCCTTGCATTTCCCAGAGCTTTTTTTTTTTATCGCACAGAAAAAAGTCATGAACACCCTTCACTATAAACAGCGAGGAGAGCTGGTGTTACAGATAGGACCTGGAAAATGTAAATTGGAGAAAACACCACACAAACATCTCAAGTGGAAGGTTTTTCCTTCTTTTTATTGACACGGTTGGTGAGAATACTTCCAGTGACTTCAGTGGATGTTACATCAAATCACAGTGTCTCTCTAACTCTCCCCCTCTGCTGGCAATTCAGTTCTCGCTGTGCTCAGAGCTGTGTAGGATCTCTGAGCTTTAAAAAAAAAAAAAAAAAAAAAAAATCTTTTAAGTGGTGATATAGTGGTATTCCTCATTTGAGTCGAAGGATGAAGCGCCTGAGAAAACTCAGGGGCTGTGGAAAGCAGGAAAAGCAGTAGATGCTAGCGAAGGACGGGTAGATTCTGCAAGCTGAACTGTATCTCTTTACTTTTTATAGCAGTTGGAACCAAGCACACAGACTGTGACTGATAACGCCTGGTCAAGAAGATAGTGTTTCTGGTCTAAACATAAGGAGCAAACATTCAGTGAGGGCATCGGAGACTTTTACCATACTTCATTTGATAACCCGAATCAATTTCCAGCACTAAACCAACAAAGCGTGATATTATTCTTATATTTTGAAACACAAAATAAATAACGTACAAAGCAGCGACTGCAGATAAGATTATTTCACACAGTTTGGAAGCCACTGCAGTCTGCAGAATGTACAACCCTGGTGCAGTCCACGCTCTGTGGTATTGTCCATTATAGAGCGTCAGAGTTATGCTTCGTACTGTGCACAAAGATTGGATCGTTGTATCTGCAATGTTTAGCTCGTATGTGTGCATGATGTAAGGGGGGTTTGTCTGGCAGGAATATTTTTCTACTCCTGTTTTACAACCCTTCTTGATGCAGATTTTTTTTTTTTTTTAATATATTCTTAATCTGATCTGCACAATTCTTTGCTTTGTTCAGCACAAAGGCATGAATGTTGCCAAATGTAAATGACAAACTCTATTGGAGGAAGAGAAATCCAGTCCTTTAAGTAAACTTTTCCACTAGTGTTTAGAAATTTCCTCTCTCAATAGAAGCAGAAGCATTTCTTTTTAATGTTTCTTCTGGCCAGCTATGAATAAATTTTAAATATTTAACAGAGAAAACTGGGATACTATGGAGGTCCTGATTTTGAACAGAAACTTAAAATTCTCTGTCTTTGATGGAAATAGTCTCACCAAAAATAAGTGTACCAAATATTTTTGGAGTCGTAGGAGGCTATTAAATTCCCAGGTATTTGCTCAGTTCTGGAGACAGCTGTTTCCTCCCTCCAGACCCTACTTGAAGCAATGAAAAAGCACACAATCAACTAAACTTCTTTAGTTGGTAGGCAGATGATTTGGCAGTAGTGGAGTATGAAGCAATCTCAGCCTAAAATGAAATTAGTGATGTTCAAGATAATGGCAGAGATGTATGTCTTAGACAAATGAAGTTCTACTCTTCATTAATCCAAATTATAATTTTATCTAAATGGCCAGATCAGATCC